GGGGAGGGGCGTGACGAGTCACGTGGCCCCCTCACCTGAGGTCGACAAAGCCCCATTAGTGAAGCCATCCTCACGTACTCACACCATAGTAGTAGAACCCATAGTATGGCCTGTTTGCAGCCCGGGGATTGCGCAACTCCGGAGGTCTTGGCGCCTGAGGGGGGCTTATAGCTCACGCCCAATACGTCTTTGACACCCGTATATTAACCTACGGTGCGCCCGTGCCGTTATCCTGCCCTGTTTCCCTACTTCTATTGATACCCTTCCCACTGCCTTCCCATGACGACGTTCCTCACCCCGCATTTCAGCCGCCGGGTGCTGTTTCTGAACGTCCACCCCGAGCTCGACGACCCCGGGTGTGGGCCCATATACAACTTGCCGGCGCCGCTGCTGAGGCCGCCGGCGCAGCCGATGACGATGGTCAACCTGGGGATCGAGTTCAACCAGCGGATGTTCGACAAACTGCTGCCGTTCGCTCCCAAGCTGCCCCCGCTGGCGGCGACGGGCCACGTGCTCTCGCTGAGGCGCAAGCGGCTTAAGCTTCCCGACCCACCGAATAAGCTGATCTTGAAGAATAAAGTGAGCCCGGAACAGTTATTGATTAACGAAACGACGATTAACTTCCACGGCGACTTGGATGAACTAGCGCTGTTCACCGCGGCCAATATCGATAATGTCGCGAGTTCGAGTATGAACGGTGCCAATGGCGACGGGGTCACGGCTCCACCGAGACGTAAGCTGTATGCCGAAATGACCGACGAAGAGTTGATGCAATTAGACCCCCAGTACGCTCAGAAACTGGTCAACGTGTCCCAGTATAAGTTTGACTCTAAACTGGGGTTCTATGCCGGTACCTCCAAGACCAATGCGGATCCGGCCTACCCGACGGCCAAATATGCCCTGCTGGGAGTCGATAACTATAAGCTGGTGCTGCTCACGGTGAAACACAATGGCTACGAACAGTGTACCACTAACCGCACCATCCTCGCCTATATCTCGGGCCGCCGCCACCTGTGGAACGGGCTCGACTGGATGCTTAGTTACAACCAACCCGTCACTGACCTGGAGATTTTCCTCACTCACGGCGACTATTTGGTGGTGGCAGCTCTAATTCCGCAACGGTTTATTACTGACCACGCTAAGCTTAATAAGCGTAACCGCCTCGAAGAAGTGCTTCACGATAAGGGGAACCAGATCCTCGAACACTTACTCACGCTGCCGTTACTCTCTCAACACGATTTACGCCTCAAAATTACCGTGGAACTTATCATGGACAACGTCATCGCCGATACCCCTACTGTCCGCAATAAGAAGCCCCAGGGCAACAAGTACGCCTTGGGCAACTTGTACCGCCAGTACCACCCCAACATGTTGGTCATGGGCACTAAACTGGCCAATTTTAACTTCAAATACCCCACTCAACGGAAACAGCTGGCACGTGACGAGTACTTGGTGAAACTCACCAGTTACGTGATGAAGTACTCGGTGGTACCCGTACTCTTAGTGGGACCATCTACTAAGTGGCACAACGCGCTGGCCTACGAGAAACGGCGGGCCCTGACGCTGTTGAAATTTGCTGGCGATAGTCGGGGCCGCCTGACTCACCGGGAAATGATCCCCGAAACGTCATCGCGGTCGCTGCTGATTGCTCTGCTGGACCTGGTGCTCTCGGCAGTGCTGTTTACGGGGCTGGACCTCGTCAAGGAGAAACTGCTTCCCGAACAAGTGGACCAGCTCTGGCACCTGAACTCACCCAACCGGTTTGCCGATGCCCTTGCTTTAGTATCTGACCGAGCCTGGGACGATGCCCACGGCTACTTGACGGCTGTGTCCTCAAAAGGCGAGAGCAGCTTACCCATAGATCTGCGCATCCACCAGATCTATAGGTCGCAAACTACCAGTGGCTACGTCATGGGCGGCACTCCCATCGGCACCAGCCAGCTGCCGTCTCACCTGAGGGAACTGGGCGTCGGCGGCTCCGTCAATGGTGGTGGTTGCGAAGTGTATAAGGTGAAGCTGATGCTCGCCGCTGACCCACCTAAACCAAAGAAGACGAAACCGGCACTGTTCCTGGTGCCGCTGACGACGATCACCCCTGCGGAGATGAAGAAACGGTCGAACCTGATGACGCTGGCGTCGTCGCTGCTGGAGAAGGAGAAGAAGCTGACCTCGATCTGGAAGAAGCTCGGCCTCAAGAAGTAGCCCTCAAGCAAACCACGCTAACCGCATACTTGCATGCATGTACTCACAGAGATTTTTACCGACAGAGATTACCCGACAGCAATAACATTAGGCATAAAGCACCCCCATGTAGTACGCACTCTATACAGACAGCCACAGTTTCCCCCACATTCCAACATTTTTCACCCACGGGACACAAAGTTATTATTGTGGCCAGCCGTTAATTTTTCAGCAACCACGGAAGGTGCAAATAATAGGCGCTTTTGGATGGCGATGGCATCGTATCATTGGCTCATTCTGTGCAACGTACTCAATTACATTCTGTGGTGCGGGAGCACAAACCCACCCCACTGACAATGCCCAGAGTATGTGGTTTGTCCGCGTTTAGTGTCGTTAGTAATGAGCTCAGCACGACGGGTGGTATGCTGACGGCTCTGCCCACTGACGCTTGTCGGCTAGTGCGGGGTTTAATTGGCGACACCCGAAGCAAGAAAGCCAAGCCCATCGTCGTCAGGTGGCTGGTAAACAAAGACGAGGCGGACCACAGAACCATTCCCACGCAATAAAAACAACACAAACTCATCATTTTTTTTATTTCTCGTCTATTAGTCAAGACATGCCTATTTGTAATTGTCCAAAGCCGAAAGACAACGAGCTATTGCACCACGGCAGCGATTGGATGACATCAGAATCGGGAAAGTGGGGACGGGGGGAATGCTGCTGGAAGTTTGGGTTTATGGCGATGACGTCAGCCTACGCCAGCCGTGTCGGCATTGGTAGAGGACAGTGAGAAGGTTACACTGGCACCGTATCTTCCCCTCAATCAGGCTCTAAGGTTACGGTAAGAAGCGGGGGGTGAGTAGGGTAGTTGGTGACGACGGCGACAACAATAGCCGAGCGCTCGATGCTTAGGTACCATCGGCTGCCACCACCCTGAGTACGGGGTGCTCGGAAGGTAGAGTCGAGGGAACAAGCGCTGTCGGCAGAAAAATAGAATGGCGCAACGGTTCCACAGAACCACGGCGAAGAATGCGAGCGGTAAAGTGGTCATCGCAATCACGCAAGGAAGGGTGGGCGGTGGGTGGAGTTCTGTGTCACCCTATCCAATTGTCGTGTTTGTCACATGAATTACCCATTACTACAATTCCCAGTTATCCCCAGGATGTTGGGTAGAATTTCCTTTCTAATGGCATTGCCACAATCATATGGGCGCCAATTTTAGTAATGTCATTAACGGCGACGTCGCCTCGCGTCTTGAGTCGGGGGCCACAAAACCCCTGGGAGTCGTTTGTGGGAAGATAACGCAGAACAGATGCTAGTGCCAGGCACATCAGGGATTGTGGAACCATGAACCCGCGTGTAGTGGCCTCGCGGCGGCGCGGCTAAGTTTAAATCTATTGTCGCAACCGGGACTAGTAGAGAAACTATTGCCGAAGCCAAGGCACACCCGCCGAGGGCTGCTTACGCCCTGCGAGCCCGTCGGCGACTCTGCCCGTGGCTGCGGGTCTGATTTGTGCGATTTTTTTCTCTGTCTGGGGAGAGAATACGAGTAGGCACCACTTAAGGTTCGGAACGTCACGTTTGTCGAAAGTCCAACATTTTACTAGCCACCGACTGTGACACTCTCCGATACCCAAATTGAAGCTCTCATGAAACAAATCACTTCATCCATGCACTTTTTTTAGCTCTTTTTGCGTGGTTATCAGCACTTAGGCCACCGTGATTTCCCCGGTTTGGCACCGCCTTGCCGTTGGCTATTGTTCGGCGCGGGATAATTTGCGTTATTGTTGTCCGGCAACATCTTCCCGAAAGATGAGCCACGGTGACGTGGGGGCAGCGCAGCCGCGGCGGTCTCCTTGGCAACGAACAGCCAACATGATGTGATCGAGCAGATGATGGTGAGGTGACAGGTCATTCACTCGCCGCCGATAGACTATTTTTTACTTCGGTAGTGAAAATCCCCCACAGCCGGGAGTCTGCAGACACTTGGCGCAAACCCGGCGGTGTCGAAATTAATTAACCTTGGACCAATCGCTCGTTAGCTTGTAGGAGACCGCCAAAAACAAAGCCGCGGAATGGGGGGTAAAAACCACAATGGGGCCATGCCAATGGATATACCCCCCCGCTGCACGGTGGCTCGAGATCGGCGCCATCTTCTACGGCGACAACATTGGGGCGGTTGAGGGAATGTCTACCCGAACGGTGCTTGCCGACGATCTCATCGAAGAAGAGCAAATATTCCCCAGGGAAGAAAAGTAAACTTTAGGGGCTTTCTTTGTGGTCGTAAGTCTTCTGGTTCTGTACCCTTGAAGGAGGTAACAATACCACCAAAGCGGGCCTTATTGCCGTGATCGGAGGCCATCTTCACGTTGGTATCTTGGAGATCCGGTGCATATAGTCATACGATTCTCGAGCAGGCTGTAAGTCGCCAAATTGCCACGTTTGTCTGGCTTCCCGATTGTCAGGCGAATGTACAGCGGGTACTTTAATTATTTAAATTATTTTTTTCCAAATCTCACGTTTAGCTTTTCCGACAAAGATGTCACCCGTCCCCAGCCCGTCGCTGCCAACCAGTCGGGAGACGGACAAAGACAAAAATGTCGACGAGATTATCGCCAGTAAAAATCGAATGATCATTGCTTGGACTATTTCAGGTTGGGGTCATTGTCTCAATCGTATTATTGTCGTGGCCGTCGACGTACCCAGATTGGCCGCCCACATTCCCGCCCGGCGGTTCCATGCTGGCTAAACCATCATTCTAGAATCATGCACTCTACGGATCGAGGTGCCCACGAGATTGATGCCTCGCCGAGCGCTGCTTGGGAAACATAGGAAGGATCGGTGATCGTCACAGCGAGGCTTTGGTGCTGATTGCGACCTCGAACGGGCGAGGCTGGAGGTGTACCTTCAGGGGTAGAGAGTTTCTGTTGGTGGCAGGGATCCCCCAGGAGCAGCAGCAGCCCTGCGGGCCTCGCGTAACCGCTAATAAATTATGGGAAATAGCCGGGGACATCGCATGCTTGCTGCTCGCCACCGCCAGCACCTTCCGCTCCTTGCCCTGACGACGATACTCTAAATGCAGTCACAGCACCATCAAATCTCCTACGCTTTACTGGCTTAAGACTTATGAGAATCCATATTGACAATAGCCGTGGGTATTGGCGTATTCTCGATGTAGTGGGTCAAAAGGGGTAAGAGTTTCGCGATGACCAAGAATATTTTTTTCAGTGTCGGTGGCAGAGGGTATTTTCAATTGATAATTCAGCTTTGTGGCCCGGGACACAATGCTTCGTTTTTTATGCACAAAAATATTTTTCTTCGGCCCGGTACGTAATCGCAGTTTCTTTCCTAAATTTCTCTCCCGGGGCTGGGTCGAGCATGGCGTGCGCAGACACAAACTCCCCATAGCGGCGCCCGCTGGCTTTTGCCAGGGGTGGTGATCCATGGCGGCGCTAGGCCCCGATTCGATAGCCGGGCCGCTGCAACAATATCTGCCCAAGGCAAAGGCCACAGATCCCGGCGTACTCTCTTTACCGCGAAAAAAAAAAAAACATCAGTGCCGCAACTGAACGCGATCACATCAAGGTGTCTGAAATTTGGGGAAAACAACATAACCCCCTCTTGTAGTCAGCCAATTTCTCGCATCATCTGCCCTTCGATGTAACCGCAATGTCGGGGATATCGTTAGATGTCCGATGTCGACAGGGCGAGCCGTGCCTCGATTCCTCGATGGTTCCGCGAGCTGCGTTTTGTGGACATTTATTTTAGTAGGGGAATTTCATCTTAAACCCTTTATGATGTGTGATCTAGCGCCGGGGTCTGACGACTTTTGTTGGCGCTCCCCTCAGTGGCGGTAAGCCTCACTGTCAGTTTCAGGCGGGGGGTTCGGGGACATACGGGAGGATCTTATTGTCCTCTTGTGGGGAGATAATAAAATGCGTGGCTATTTCACGTCTACACAGCTAATAGGGGCGGTAGCCTCGTTTCTAGAACGATCTCCTACCACACGCCCCACTTGCGGTTGGCGGCAGCGAGCTGGTGGGTGGCCCGCCCCGTGTCCCGCAACCGGGCGCTGGCCTTAACCAACACTTTGCCGTCGGCCAGCTCGATCGTCAGCTGGAGATTGATCACTTTGGTGCCGTCCTTCACCTCGGTGTCTGGCTGAGGCTCCGTCTTGACCACGAGGAACTGGTTGGCTCTGGTGGGGGCCTTGTAGCTAATCTCTAAGTGCTCGACCATAAAATCGTCTTTGAGCGACGACGACGTATTGTGGTTAAGCAGGGCGTTACGCTTAAACGTCTCGTTGAGGAGGGTAGCAAGTACCCCGCCGTGGACGAGAAACGGGTAACCGGTTAAACGGTAGCCACAGTGGACGATGGTTACCCCTTGGTCGGTCTTGACGTTTTGGAAGATCGCCGGCTTAATCAAGATCCCCCCGGGTTTAGCCAACGTAGTATTGGTAATCGAAGGAGCCTGGTACTCTTTTTGAGCTCTGACGGTGGCTGGTTGCCCGTCCAACGGGTTGTGGTCCAAGTTCTCCCACAGTGAGAGGCGGTACCACTGGTGGGCCTGGCGCGGGTGGTTCAACTGTTCGTAGATGGGCAAATGCTTCAATTTGTACTCGAGCTGGCGGGGCAAGAGCTCGGTGTTCGCTGTGTGGTTCTCGTCGATGAACGTGGCCCGCTCGTATAGGTCGTATACGCTTTCGTTGTACCCTACCAAACAGCCGAGGGCGAACATGATCGCGGTCGCTTTCCACGGCACCCATCCCTTCTGGGGACGTACGGGGAGATGAGCGAAAGGGGAGTCCTCAGCAGCCCGGGTTCGGGCGTGGCGGACGAATACCCGCCAGGGCAGACGACTGAACATGGAGTGCGCGTGAAACTGGGTCTCGCTGTTGCATGACTATATACAACTAGTATGTGTGCTGCAAATGGCAAATTGTCACAACTGTGTAACATACTTGTTTTAGAGCTTTATTGATTGAAGTTCAAAACTAAATTTCAAACACATATACTACTGTCTTCGTCGTTGTAGCAAGGAGTCATTATATACTAGAGTGCGCGTGGGGTTGCCAGCGGCCATTTGTATTAAATCAAGATGGAATAAATGCAATGAGTTTTCCATTTGAATTTCAATTTTTATTCGACATCGCTTGAAGGCATATCTCAATTATCGACTGAAATGACTTAGGCTGTAATATTCAGTGGTTGAGTAGCCAACCTTGATTCATCAACAATCGCACGCGGCGCGTTACCCTACGATGGACCATAGCTACGGCACCCGGCTGAAGGACCGGGTCAAAGAGGAAGAGGCTCGTGCCCGTTCTCAAGCGAAGCAAAAGGCGGCTAACGTCAAGGTGGTACCCCGGCTTCGTCCGATAGCCTACGATGTCAGCGACATCGACCACTCGGCCCCGCTCGAGCTAATCGCCGCCCTGGAGGTAAACGGAGAGCAATTCTATTTCACGGGGGAACTGGTGCCGCTAAATCGTCGTGGTTTCAAGTACAAGCCGTGTCGGGCTCAGCCAAACTTCAAAGCCAACATATACGCCACCACCGAAGTGGAGCCGGCCCAGGCGCGATTCAGCTACTCCGACAGAGCTCAAGCAATGCAATTGAACGCGTCGGCGACCCAGTGTACCGTGGACGAAGGCTGGCGGCTGGTACGGGCCAACGTCGGAATCAGAGAGGGCACCTACTACTTTGAGTTTAATATTGTGCGAGCTAATCGGGGTCAAGGACACGTCCGGGTGGGTATTGCTCGGAAAGAAGCTAATCTTGAAGCTCCCGTGGGGTTTGATGGCTACAGTTATGGTATCCGTGATGTTAGTGGTGAGCTTATGACACTACTGCGACCTCAAGGCCAATTAGTGGAGGAAGGGTTTGGTGATGGCGACGTGATTGGCTTCTTGGTGGAGTTCCCATCATTACAGGATCATCGCCAGGCAGTGGACCAGTTTATTCAATCGGTGGGCGGTAAAGCACTGCTGAATAAGCGCCGTAAGAAGGGACCGGAAACTTCAGGGTTCACCGAATTCGGCAATATTGTCCGTGACCAAGTGCCGATAAAGTTCAAAAACGAGTTATACTTTGAACAGTTTGAGTATACTGCCAGCGATCTGATGAACCATTTGCTTAACCCAGTGACGGTGTTTGGGGAGAAGGCTGTGATTGAACAGGAGCTCCAGCTGCGACTCCTGTCTAACCTTCCGAGAATTGCTGGGTCAAAGATTACCATATTCAAAAACGGTACTGCGGTGGGTGAACCATTGGAAAACGTCTACAGTTTCTTACCTACATCAGTGGAGAACGACCAGGTGGGGTATAACGCGGTGCAAGCGCAGAATAATAATTATAGAAACACTGACGACGGCACGCTTGGATACTACCCGATGGCACTGTGTTTCAAAGGCGGGGTGGTGGAATTGAATGCTGGTCCTGACTTCCAGTACCCTGTGGAAGGGGCGCGACCGTTAAGTGAACGGTTTGACGACCAAGTGATTAGTGAGTGGTACTGGGACCTCGTCGATGAAGTTGAGGCCGAGTACTTGGACAGTTTCTTTGAGTGATTGGAAGTGGTGTACATTTCTATGAGAGCCTAGAGAAGACTTCCGTCATTATGTATTATTACCTTTCCGTTGAAAATCTCGATTATTTGACAGTTTGATATCAGAAGATTTCTCCTGCACTTCCGTTGAGTCAGTTCCGAAGACGGCGATACGTTTTGAATACACTGACCCTGTGTGGGGAGAATATATTGACCACATAGCAACAGTCCTTCACTCGCCCACACTTAATAAGTAAACAATTGAGATAAACAATAGTATTGGTGAATTGATTACTCTCTCATAATAATTAGCCACTCCATTAGATTCGAAGAATTGTTTCAATGCATTAATCTTTCTCAAATGATCTTCCTCTCATTCAGTTTCGGTGGGGGCGAATGCGTCGGGGCGGCCGATCTTCTTCGAGTCGATACCGGGGTGTTGGCGTTGATAGGGGACAAAACACGTCTTATGAAACGCACCGTCGTCCGTCAAATAACCCACTGTCACCCAATCGTGACACTGTTTACACAGAAGAAGCAACCCCAGATCGACGTAGCGGTCAGCAAGCCACCCTTTAAGCTCAGCAAGCGCTCGCTGACTCATATACACCTGGTCGTTGTGGATCTCAAGCCAGCCGGTATCCACAAGTCGCCGGATAAAGAAGTCGGCGTCTTCGAGAGTAAGTGCCATTTCATCCTTGGCTTTACGTCTAGCGTTATTTAAGCCAATGGAAAACCTAGAGTTGTCAGCTTCGACAATATCATCGATTAAGTGTTTAATACACTCAAGTTCAGCGGGAGTAAACGACGTGGCTTGGCGAGCAATGGCGTCGTTGACGAAATTGATGAATATATAGTTCAATTCGGCGGTGACTTCATCGATTTTGCGTTCGATTTTGAAGCCGTGTTCGCCAATTCGAGAATTGATCTCGGTGACGACATCGTCAACATCGAGACTCGAGGAACTGTCGAGGTGGGCAAGCACTCGTTTCGCTTGCGATTGCGATAGCAGCTGAACCAGGCGGAGATAGGCAAAAAACGCTCGGTGGGTATCGGTATAGGTGACCTCGGGCGGCGGCGATGGCGTCTCCAAGGACATAATTTGGGATGTTGGTTATCTATGGGCCCCTCATCCCGATCTAGTGATGGGCGTCACGTGACATTGACGAGGATCGACAGGGTTCAACTAAGGGGCATAGCGGACAACTTAAATGCCAAAAGAGGTAGATGATAGCAAGTGTTTTTGAAAGTAATTGAGGGTGGCAGAAGAAAGCCTTACTCCAAGTTTCAGGACAAGAACCACCGGGTAAATGGAGAATTAGTAAAGTGCTTCTCTTTGTGGTATAGCCTAATTGCGGGGTGTACTCAAAATCATCAATTGATCAAACCTTCCCTTAAGTAACAATAACACATTCGATAGACTACAACACCACTTGCCAATTCCTTCTCTTCAGCATCCTGCTGCTCGTTCCAGGGGTGTCCGCGTTCGGCCCACACTCACCCAGTGCGCCCTCGAGGTCACCTCATAAAAACAGACGATTTGTTTCCAGCTTAGCCATCACCAATTACCCATTTGATTCCCTTCTCAATTGACAAGCTTTCACTACTTCAATAATGTCAGTGTCCCTTTCGTACGCGCTGATTGTGGTGACCAACGAGAAGAAGTTGGAGGAGCTCTACCACTTCTACACCCGCCTCGGGTTCCGCTTGACGAAGCTGTACTCGAAAGCAGGGTTGCTGACCCACCCGGCCCCTGAAGAAGGTAAGCTGACATTGATTGGCATTGCCCTGGACCTGATTCGGGAGTTGTGGTTGGAGCTGTTCCCGCTTCAAGATACTGATGCCGCCACGGGGAAAATCAAGCCGTGGCAGGAGATGTCGGTGTACCAAGGCGACGTGCTGGAAGCGCTTGGCGTGGCCTCGGTGCTCAAATTGAGATTGCTGCTGTTGGAGACCCCGGAGGAGTTGGTGCTGAAACACCAGTTTTACTTCTTTACTACCAACTTAGACCAAGTGCAATCGATTTTAGAACGTCCCTTTGTTGATGACCACACTATTTATGCTGAAGACCCCGTGGGTACCGAGCTTATATTCTCCACTAAACCCACGCCCACCTCGCAATTGCTGTTTTCCGACCCCGAACTGTATTTAGACCACCGCAAACAGGAGATCATGCAAAGACAGACTCGCCGGGGGCTGACGGTGGGGTTAGCTCCCGTACGCTCAGAGTTGGAACGGCGCAAACCGCGGAGAAAGATCGCGGTGATGACGCTGGGGGGTGACGCTCCGGGGATGAATCCCGCGGTGAGAGCCGTGGTGCGCCTGGGGATCTACTATGGTTGTGACGTGTTTGCCATCTGTGAAGGCTACAGTGGTATGGTCAAAGGTGGCGACTATATCAAGCAGATGACGTGGAGCGATGTCCGTGGCTTACTTCATAAGGGCGGGACTGCTATTGGTACCGCTCGTTGTAAGGAGTTCAGAGAACGTGAAGGGAGACTTGAAGGTGCCTTCAATTTAATATCCCACGGCATCGATGGCCTCATCGTCATTGGTGGTGACGGGCTGTTGACTGGTGCCGACGCCTTGAGACAAGAATGGCCGTCGTTGGTGGCTGAGCTTGAGTCCAAGGGACGCATCGACAAGGCCACCGCCGAACGCAACCAGACTTTAACCATTGCCGGGCTTGTGGGGCTGATTGACAACGACATGGCCATGACCGACCTGACGATCGGGGCGCTGTCAGCGCTCGCCCGGATCTGCGAATTGGTGGACTATATCGATGCCACCGCCCAGCTGCACTCGCGGGCGTTTGTGGTGGAAGTGATGGGCCGTCACTGTGGCTGGTTGGGGCTCATGCTGGGCATTGCCTGTGGTGCTGACTATATCTTTATCCCTGAACACCCTCCTAGCGCCAAGACGTGGAAGAAGGAGCTTATGGACATCTGTAAGCGTCACCGGGAAAAGGGTAGACGTAAGACTACCGTCATTGTGTCTGAAGGGGCCATTGACGATGAATTAAACCCTATCAGTTCCGAAACCGTCAAAGAGGTGCTTGTCGAGCTTGGCTTGGACACCAGAATCACCAAGTTGGGCCACGTGCAACGTGGTGGTGCTGCTGACGCCCATGACCGGCTTATGGCTACCTTACAAGGGGTGGAAGCGGTTAAAGCCGTGCTTAATCTGACCCCCGACACGCCACTGCCGATGATCTCGATGAAAGACGCCACCATCAGTTGCAAGCCGTTGATGCAAGCGGTAGAACAAACGAAGCAGGTGGCCAAATACATCGAAGCCAAGCAGTTTGACAAGGCGATGAGTCTCCGCGAGCTGGGGTTCTCCGATGCGCTCAAGGCGTTCTGCGATATCAGTCACGGCGACGACGGCTCGCAGTTGTTACCGGAAGACCAGCGGTTGAACATTGGTATCATCCACGTCGGGGCGCCGCTGGCGGGTCTCAACGCCGCTACTCGGGCGGCGGCGCTTGTGTGCTTAGCTAAGGGCCACCGGCTCTACGCCATCTACGGTGGGTTCCTGGGTCTTATCGATAACGGCAAAGTGAAGCAACTTGAGTGGTTGGACGTTGAGGAATGGCACAACCAGGGGGGGTCGGAAATCGGTACCAACCGGCTGTTGCCGCTGCTTGACTACGGTAAAGTGGCCTACTACTTCCAAAAGTACAAGTTTGACGGGCTTATGATCCTCGGTGGGTTTGAGGCGTTCACATCGTTGCACCAATTGCACTCTAAGCGGAAAGACTACCCGATCTTCCTGATGCCGATGGTGGTGGTCCCCGCCACCATTTCCAATAACGTCCCCGGTACTGAATACTCGATGGGGCTGAACACGTGTTTGGACGAGTTGGTGCGGTACTGTGATGCCGTCAACCAGCTGGCGTCGGCGCTGAGACGGCGGGTGTTTGTTGTTGAAGTGATGGGGGGCCACTCTGGTTACGTGGCGCTGTACTGTGGGCTTGTCACCGGCGCTCTTGCCATCTATACTCCTGAAGAACGTGTCAGCTTACACACTCTCGAGGAGGACATCCAGTTGTTGACCCAGCTGTTCGCTGACGACCGCGGTGAGGACAACAACGGGAAGTTGATCATCCGTAACGAACAAGCGTCCACAGTATACACCACCGACCTTGTGGCTGATATCATTAGAGAGCAAGCCAAGGGCCGGTTCGAGACGCGGACGGCGATCCCGGGGTACGTGCAACAAGGGTACACGCCGCTGCCGTTGGACCGGATCTACGCCGTCAAGCTTGCCACCCACGGTCTTGGATACATCACCTCCGAAGCCGCCAAAGGCGATATTACTATTGGCGACGAAGCGCCCTGCCGCGCCAAAGTGGTGGGGATTGTCCGCAGCAAAAACGTGTTGCTGCTGATTGACGAGGTGTGGAACAACGACGCCAATGTGGCGTTGCGGAAGGGGAAGACCGTTCACTGGCTGCAGATCAATAAGGTGCTGGACATGTTGAGCGGGCGGTTGCTTTTGCGCCAGCATAAGGAGGTGGAGATGAACCGCGCCGTCCGCCACGCGTACGAGGTTGAAGTCCATGAGTACCAACAAGAGGCCCTGGCCACCACCAAAGTGAAATAACCATCATAGGAATAATCTAACGAAGCTCAGTCTGCTCTCTGCCATCTCTGCTATCTCTCTGTACTGCTGGGTCCGTGGGCGATGACATCATTGCCTGGGAGGCTTAAACCACGGGACGTCACCATAGTGCATCCACCAGAGCGGCGTCCCGGGTAGACTGCTTCCGAAGGGCTCCCGGGCACCGTAAATCTGTTGTTGCCCGGTTACGTCGATCACGTCGTAAATTATTTAGTGACCACAGAGGTGATGAAGATCAAGTCATAGCCGTTGGAAATAGAAGGGAGACATTCTCTGAAATGCAGATGATACATCGAGAGAATGAGATCATCTGATGAGTAAGTAGATCTCTATCCATTCAATGTGGTCTAGTGTAGCCATTATACCCGAGCTGGGGGTCATTGTTGTGGCAATTGGCGGAGTTCCGGGTCGACATCGAGATGGGCTCATTTTGAGTGAAAACAGGTGGTTTTTTTAGGACGAGACAATGGCGAAGAGGCTTTGGTCAGAAATAAAAACAATGGCAATGAGGCACCCCTGGGACGGGGGGAGGTGGGTGTGCCGGCTAGACGATTTAAAACGCGTGCGGCCACCGGAAGAGGAAGTCTAACGCGGGAGGTGCTCCACTGGCAGAAAACAGCGGCCCGCACTACATGGAGTATGTTTAGCCACCAAATAATAGTAGACGGTGGCCAGGGGAGGAGCAAATAGCCGAGGGAAAAAAAACTACGTGGCTCGCCGGCGATCAGGAACCACTACATCAGTGCATCAGTACTGTCTCAGCAAGCTTTTCTTTTCTGATTACTCTTCGCGGTCTCTCTACTGTGTCGGCGGAAACTGGCGATGGAGCCGAAGTGTCGGAGACACTAAATAACGATGAGGACAGTGCGGGGGAAACCGGCACCCGCGAACCGGTGGGCAGAGGAGTAGGTTGGAGAGGGAGAGGGAGAGAGGAGTATAGATAGTTGCTGGTGGATCATCTTGGTGGTGGGTGGAATTGGAGGTGGGGCGGTGCTCGCTAACGGGTACTGTTTTCGTCGACTGGCGTCTACCCCCACCCCCCACCTATAGGTCCCCCC